AGGTATGTAACGGTGTATTTAATAAGATATAGAGATGGAAAGAGAGAAAGCTATAAAAGTAACTCGAGCTCCTGGAAAAGGAGTCGTTTTATGTCCTATGCAGGCAGTCGGATGTTTCTATATGCATTACATATATTCATGTAAAATCCTGTAATCCCTACCCCATCTCTGCTATGACCCTAATGATCAAATGTAAACATAATTGCAAAGAAATTCTAAAAATATCTTTGAATGGATTGATAAATTCTATTTAACAGACAATCGTACATCACTTTTATTCATATAGGATCTTTTGTATGACGCACGAAAGACATGTACGTCAATGACGTCTTCTAACAAAATGAACGTCGGAACTGACGTTACGAGCGCTTAAACACCACTTTTTATCATTATTTGCGATGTGTTACACGTAATCAGATATAAGCAAGTCATATATTGCTAGAAAGATAAAGTTCCTAACTTCTGAGTCAGATAAACATCAATTTATTTCAATGTTCGGCGAAAATCAACCAATAACGTACTTTGTTCTTTGAAAAACTGGTAAAACACTGCTATATCAGCTAAAAACAGCAGTTCATTTTGTCTTGGGGTGCTTTTATATTTTTCATATGTGCATTACTTCTGCAAAGATTTTTTAAACTGAAAATGATATATTGCATACAATATAAAAATTTTTCAACCTCAAACTTTAATCTAAATTATCTTTGATTTTCTTTGATAATGTTGATTGTTATTTCTTAGTTTTCTGCACCTTTTTAAGACTTTTCTCTACTTTTAAAATGGATTTTTAAAATAAGCATTAAAATGAAAATCTTTTGAATTTTAAAATCCACTAGACTGGATGTTCATAGCTGCAATTTTATAGGTTATGGTAGGACATCCAGGAAAATTCAGTTTGAAAAAAAGGCCCTCAAGTACTGCCTGCTAATCTTAACAAATCATTTTATATATAAGGTAGTTCTTCAAGGAAGAGCAATGAACTTTAATAAAACAATAAGTTTAAGCTTTGAAATAAGAAAACTCTGCATGGACCTTAGAATAACTCAAGATACAAAAGCCATTTTCTGGCAGTGAATGCTCTACTAAACATTAATCACCATGATCACTGCAGTCAGAAAATGATGGTGATGCAGATTATTTAAGAAGTTTAAGACCTCTTAAATCTGAACTACAAATTGCTGCCAAGGACCTGCTTTTATAATGGAGCTATTAGCAGACTTAAAGAGCAGCACAGGGATTTACGACTCTGTTCATCGGTAACAGATTTTTCAGTAGGAAGGCAGGTACTAAATACCATCAGATTGCATCTTCACCTCTTAGATCTTATCTCATGTAATGAATATATTCTAAATTCCATCTTCTACTTGGCACGAGTTCTGTGTAGTGGAAATCATTTCCAGTAATTTAATTCATGGTAATTTCAGCCTCCATGTAAATCAATTAACAAATCTCATGGAAGAACATGACTATTTATGAATCCTCTGTAAATCTGATAATTAAGAAATAATTTGCAAAGGGTTTTATGTAGTTAATTAATAAAATTGATAATATTTTGAATTTAATCAACATATGCATAATTCAGAAACTAATCAAGATGAAGGCTAATATATTTAGAGTGAAGTCATGTACTGAACGTAAAATTTAGTGATTAATGGACTCTTCCCAAGTTTGGCAAAAGTTTTTTTTTTATTGATAAGCTGCTCTGGCTGCCATATACTGGTAAATATAGCCTAGCATCTCCAGACAAAGCCTTTGAAGAAAAAACTCCTGGGAGTCATTATACTTATAACATGATACACAGACACAATGATAGGAAGTATATGTACAATACTGAGAATACTGAATTATCCAAATGGTAAAAATACTTTTTTAGCACATGATTTGTCATCTGATAAAGGATTTTTTCCTCCATTATTTATTTTACAGTATTGTACACTACCTGTCTACCAGAAACTTATTTTTACATGATTCTGTCATTTCTGTGTACTTATATCGAATTGTAAATAATATAATAAATCAAGTTCATAATTATTTGATTTAAAAAAAATTCACATAAAATTCATTTATACAGCTTATGTATAGGAAATAACTGTCAGGATTTGTAAAGGAAAAGTATCTGCATAAACACTTGATCAAGTACACCCTGAATTCCTGTCTGGACAGTGTTTTCAATAAGAGCCGGCAACCGGCAAAATTAACCGCCTGTACGAGAAATTTTGCCGGCTATGAAATTTCCGTCATAAGAATTTTGCCGGTGCTGCTACGTGAAATCATTACCGCAACTATTTCCATGATCTAGAGTAGCTTCCCTTGAGTGCGCTCTTTTTTCAAGGAAGTTTGATTAGATCGATAGTCAAGTGTCATGTAATGGCGTCGCGGACAACGAATATTTGAGCGAAGTCGTGGAGAAACGTGCTGCTGCTGTAACACATGGGTTTGAGATCACATACGTTAAGAGGCATAAAAAATGGTCCCTTCCGAAAAGATTTGTTTGTGTTTTATAATTTTCTATTGAAAATTGATTGTGCGGCAGCCTCAATATTAAGTGAGGGGTTCCCCGGTGATTAAGACCTTACGAAAAAATGTATGAATTCTTACAGGCTTTCCACAAAATCTCAAATGTTAAGCTAAGACGTAATCATTACGAATAAAAGTCTTAATATTTTAATCTTGACTCAGACGTAGAAATTCTTACAAAATTTCCACAAACTGAAAACGTGAAATTTCATTCTCATTTATTTGTGCAAGATCTCTTGAAATACAGGAAAAGTATATTATTTTCACATTTGGAAAAGTTTTAATGTACTAGTATTTTGTATCAAATTCCATTTTCTTAATATTTTTGTTCTGACAATCTGTACAAAGTCGTCAAGATTATTTTATGAAAAGTCTCAATATTGCAGAATTTTTCCATTTTTGGGGGGTACTGTTCATCACCAAAGTGTTTTAAAAATCTTAAATTTTTAACTTTATAATCTTTTTTTTGAATTTTGAATAAAAGTCCTGACCAATTTATGTGAAAAGGACTAAATATGTAGAATTTCTAGTATAATGTTTTACCTAGAATTTCACACATGTTGTCTATATGTTTTTATAGACACTTAGTTTCAGAAGAAAAAAATTTAGTCTTTCATAAATCTGTCAAACAAATCTGTGAAAAGGTAAAAATTTGTTTTCTAGTTGGCTTTTTAAGTAAAATTTGATAATTGATAGTGACAGGAATGTGAAAAAATGGAACTTTTTAATGGCCTTAGAGGAAAGAAAAATGAGTCCAAAATGCTGATTTTCGTTTTCGGCCGGGGGGCTTCGCCCCCCTGGGCCCCCCACCAGGGCTCTGCCCTGGACCCGCTGGGGGCCTAAGGCGGCCCCCAGACCCCTCGCCGAAACTGGTTTCCTGCTATTCCATCTATTTTTCCTTCTATTGAAAATCTTATTGAAACCACTGTCAGCAATAATCAGGAGTGCTCCTACCACACGCGAACTCCTGACCCTAGGTCTACACATAGCACAATTTTTGAAAAGGCACACACTTGCTTATCAAAATTACTTGATTAATACCAAGGAGCAGATTTCAAACAATTTGTTTTCAGTATATAAGTAGAGCCCCCCCCCCCATTTTGGTATCCCTGACCCTGGGGCCTTGAAATTTACAATTCTGGAAGAGGCGCCCATCATAACTATATAAATAGTTCATCTGCTTATTACCCAGAATTAGAGAAAAAGATTTTAATAGATGTAATGTATTTTCACTATATAATCATTATAAAGCCACACCCTAACACCAGAACCCCTGACCATGGGGACATAAAATTCACAATTTTGGTAGAAACATTCTTGCTCATCATAACTATGTCCTTAATTAGTTTATTTAATACTCAGAAGCAGAGAAGAAGATTTTCAAAAAATTAACGCATTTTCACTATATAATCAATAGAGCCACGCCCTCACACCAGAACCCCTGACCCTGGGGCCATAAATTTCACAATTTATGTAGAGACACTCTTGCTCATCATAACTATGTACTTAGTTAGTTTATTTAATACTCAGAAACAGAGAAGAAGATTTTAAAAGAAATAATGCATTTTCACTATATAATCAATAGAGCCCTGCCCTAACACCATAACCCTGACCCTGGGGCCATAAAATTCACAATTTTGGTAGAGGCACTCTTGCTCATCATAACTATGAACTTAATAAGTTAATTTAATACCCAGGAGCAGAGAAGAAGATTTTCAAAGAATTAATGCATTTTCACTATATAATCAATAGAGCCCCGCCCTAACACCAGAACCCCTGACCCTGGGGCCATAAAATTCATAATTTTGGTAGAGGCACTCTTGCTGATCATAACTATGTACTTAGTTAGTTTATTTAATACCTAGGAGTAGAGAAGAAGATTTTCAAAGATTTAATGCATTTTCACTATATAATCAATAGAGCCCCGCCCTAACACCATAACCCCTGACCCCGGGGCCATAAAATTCACAATTTTGGTAGAGGCACTCTTGCTCATCATAACTATGAACTTAATAAGTTTATTTAATACCCAGGAGCAGAGAAGAAGATTTTCAAAGAATTAATGCATTTTCACTATATAATCAATAGAGCCCCGCCCTAACACCAGAACTCCTGACCCTGGGGCCATGAATTTCACAATTTTGGTAGAGGACTCAATGCTGATTACAATCATACCAACAGTTTAACTGCTTGGTGTCCAGGAGTAGAGAAGAAGATTTTTAAAGATTGCACTAATTTTAGTGGTTTTTGCCCCACCTCCCAGGCCCCAGGGGGGCAGGGACCATGAAATTCACAATTTTTGTTCCCCTTCACCCATAGATGCTATATGCCAAAATTGGTTGAAATTGATTCAGCGGTTTCAGAGAAGAAGCTGAAAATGTTTAAAAGTTAACGCACGACGGACGACGATGGACAAAAACAGATAGCAATAGGTCACCTGAGTTTACTCAGGTGACCTAAAAATAGCCCGCTCTTTAGCTTACTTCATTGGTGTTCCATCGGTGTCTGTACTGGGGGAAGTCCCTCGCCGGTCGGATATCCTCCAACTGTTTTGGGAGTACCCACTCCTTGTTTCCTGAAATTTTAAAATTCTTCATTAATAACCACTGTTACGTCTTCATTGATGTTCTAAACATATGGCCTTCACCTTAGTGAGTGTAAATCAACTGTATGACGCAAAAGATATTTAAACAATTAACAGAATTCAGAATCTTGTAGTTAATATATATTCAACAAAACAGAAGATCTCCTATAATAATGTTCAAGAGGTTAAAAGTTATTAAACACAAATAATCCTCACTTTCAGTTACTTCAGCCAAGCTGTTCATAAGATTTTTAAAAGATTTTAATATTTTCTTGTGAAGCATATTATGCCCCCACCCTAACTCTAAAGGATCTGAGAACCCATGCACATACCATGAGCATGCTTCAATATCAATAGGAATGACATTTTTGCTTAGAAAATTGTTTTCCTGTTTACTTGCATTATGTAAAATTGATATTGAATTTAGCCAACTAACCCAGCAGGGTTCAAATTATCAGTTAAGAAAACGATTTCACAAAACATGGGGATGTTTGCAAATTTATAGTTCTATTATTTTGCATAATCATGATAATAAGAGTTTTTTAACTTCTTGATTTATAGTTCCATGAGAAACTTTGATCACATATTAAGGTTGGACCCATGCAACCCTGGGGTCCACGATTTCTACTTTCTCAAGCTCATCAGATTTTCAGAGATTCTTCTAATATACTGGATGATCAAAAAGCCCACTTGAGCTTTCAGATCAGGTGAGCTCAAGCCTATATTTGTTGTATTTAAAGGTTAGAGTCCATGAAGAAAGGATGATTCAAATAAGCACAGAAAATATACAATCTACATGTATTAGATAGGTAAATCTATGCAATCTGTTATCATGACAATCATCCGATAAATACATCTAATTCCATAAATGTGTCCATTACCTCTGCAAGATAAATTCTGATTCTAGTAAAGGCCATTCTGATGGGTTTATACCTATGTATAAAAACTCAAGAGAACACGGAATTTCTAGTACAAAATGATGCACAGGTGATGGAAGAAGTAACAAATGAAAACCCAGAATTCTTGGGTTTCTTCATACCGATACTTTGTACTTCATAGGTAAATAAAGGACCCCAAATAAATGCCTTTGTGGTTCTTTGCAATATTATATTCATATTTAGTTTGAGCAAAATACTTTTTATAATCTTATTTTGTATTTAAATAAAGGTAAAATTTTAATTTGAAGGGGAAAAACACTCAAAATTTGCCAACATCTGAATACATTATGACATATTTTTTAACTTTATGCATATCTTTAAATAACAGATCTTAATGATGAGAATGCCACTGGTCTGCAAATAGAATGCATTGTGACAGACAGCTAAAATACAAATACTATGTACATGTAGAATATACAAGTAAACCTTTCTGTGATGCAAAATACAGAAGGACTTGCATGGTCCAAGAATCTTAATACAGTACCCGAGTATGTAACATATTTACCTGGGGGAGCCTTGCTGTTGTCCTGGTGACTGGAGGAGGAGGAGGCTGGCTCTCCCATTCCAGCGGTCCTCACCACTTCACTTCATCTGTCAAAAACAAAACACTCAATTAGATCCACTCCCCAAATAGATTGGTCACTTAACTGTCAAACTCCCTCAGAATCACTTAAGTTTTATGTCATTTCACTCAATACATATATGGATAACTAGTGTTCAGAACGAGTACCAAGAGATATCATTATGGGTGGGTTTTGGTACCAATGAAGAGATTTGTTGTTATTACAAGTCTATACTGGTAAATGGCAGAGCACGGAGCCTGACATTCCCCGTTAATAAGCAGGCAATTCACTGACCAACTCACTCCAGATCAATAACATTCTCAGCTAAAACCTCTGCCTTCACATGCAATCATTCTCTCCTTCTATATTCCACTATGGAATTATATCCCTGGAAGAGGACCAACTCTATACTTGTAGGGAATCCTTTTTCTGAGTTAATGCTAGCCTGTGTCTGTGACTGACACCTTCCCTCTCCTCAGGCTCTAGAACAGACCAGTGAACTGGGTATCCGTTAGAGAGAAGTAATGACTTGTTTTGAATGGTTAGACAAACACATCAGATTATTTTCTCAGCCAATTGCCCAACATTTATTTAATGTGGATGATATTTGTTTAATCTGAGTGCAGTGTTAGAGGAAGCCAGGCATTGAGATGATTTCCCAACACCTGAACTTGCTTCTAAAACATATGTAAAGTCAGTCCCTCAAGAGCCACACGCAGGCATAAAACACATCCAATACGGCTTAATGACAGAATGGCATTTCCAAATGTTTTAAATTCTATTCTTTCAGTCTGTAAGCTTAATGCACACAAAGAAGAAGAAAAAACTCTTTCTTGCTAGACAGAGATATGAAAATGATCACTTTGATTCCAATTTTACATAATTATTATAGTATACATCTGTCTGTAGCTAGACCATAAGAATTAACAGATTATTAAGACTTACAGTCAAAATTTTGATTCTGAATACATGTATTAAAATGTTTTATTTTTCATATCTATTGAAAAAAAATCTATGTTTGTATGTTTATTTTTGAAATGTAAACTTTTTTGTGAAAATTGTAAAGGTAGACATACATGTAATTTTCATTTGCATGGCACTTAGTTAGCTGACTTCAGTGTTAACAATTACTAGTATGTTGCTGCAACATAGAAAATATCTTGTTTTCTAAAGGGTCCTGTATACTTTCAAATGGAATTAAAAAAAAAAATACCTGGTAAACAAAATTTATTGATGTCAGATCTTATGTTTTTCTTTACAAAATATATTTTTGCTCAGATACACAGCTAGCTGCAACTATTTGAGGTGACAATTACTGCTGCAAGTGCACTGACCCTCCAGATGATAATCAATATGGGATTCAAATCCAGTGAATTTGTAGTGTTTTGAACTGCTTGCCCTTGTAAAAATAACAAAGGGACTACATTGTCATTACAAATAGACTACCGGTATATCATAATTACATGTATATATAACAGACCCAATTTTACATACATTTTAGAGAGTCATATTTATAGCATTAAAGCTAACAATCATTCTTCATTTAACTGAGTATCAATGACTTTATTACAAACTGCGTTTCAATCTGTCATTATATAAAATCCAATTAAATTTAAGAATTTCATAAATATCCCAGACACACATTCTTAGAACTGTGAATCCATGACAGGTTAGTTATAAATCAGTGCTCAATATTACGTTTCAGTCTATTGCCAGAGACATTAAGCAGATGAAACTGATTTCCCCGGATAGCAATATGTAACACAAATGGATACTGGCAATATCATTATGAAATTCATAAAATTAACACAAGGAGAATTGTCAATTCAATCTATATAAATGCAATAGGTTTATCATTCCCAAGGTTAGCAAAGCAGTCATATCTTGAACTTCGATGTAATTCTGCTTTATAGCAGTAACATTCAGAGCTGCTATATTTTATTATTTTACAGTTAAGAAATTTGATATGATACAAGTAAAAAAAAACAATATTTAACACTGACTGAAATTCAACTTTTCCAATAACGGTAATCATAAATGTTTACATGATATTGCCAATTAGAAATTATGCCCAACTTTCCAATTTTCGTAAGAAAGTTTCCTACTTGAAATGAGCAGAAAATTGCAAAAATCAATCAATGTAAACAGAGACTAATATTAAAGCATGCATGTTTTTTAAATGCTATTGTGAAATATGCAACATTTTTCAAGTACCTAGTACATGAAGTATTTCCAGTTGATAATATTGAATTTAAAATCCCTAAAAATATAGTTATCATTGTAACTAACTGAATTGTCAATTATTAGTTCAGTTCTATAACAATTAATTAACCATCTAGAAAGGTTTTTAAAATGAAGAACAATTTAGAAATCTCTTCTAAGAGCTTAGCCCTTTATTTTTTTCATCAATATTCATTCTGGCCATACCATCCATCTTCTTTTATTGATGAAAATTTAAAATGACAAAATAGGTAAATGCTTTAGTAAGAATGAATCAGAAACATTTTATGGCCTACTTATTTTGTATTTATTCCTATAAAACAATTTTATCTACTAAATGAATTTTTTTTTTCTTATGAAAACCACATGGATGTTATTGGAGCAATTTAATAAATGTCTTGCTATAAAGTGTGTGCCACCTTATAACTGCAGTAAACTCACCGAGAGATGATTATACACAAAGTCCTGATTATCAATATTGATCTGACAGTCAATTTCAAAAATTCATTTTAAAAGTGAAATATACACCCAGCTCAAAAAAGCTCATTGTTTCATTAAGATTTCCATCACATTGACTTTAACAGTAATGAAATTTTGCAGATCTATTAATACTGAGTTATAACAGGAGTTAAGCTAGAATCTCATCAACAGGAGCATAGGTTACAAAACATGGAGTGTTTCACAAACTTGGCTTCTTCTGAGAGCTTTATCTAGGTAATTAGACCTCCTCAGATCCCTGCTAATTCTAAATGGAGCTGGCTTTCAAGCTTTTACTTCTTGTTAATTATAAAATTAAAAAGAAAAGCGTTTTTTGTTTAATTTCTGTGTTTTCACTTTTGATCTCATTTTTTCCTGTATTTTTTTCTGGGTTGAGAAGCTTGAGAAAAACTGCTATTCTGCCCAAACATTACTGTCTTAGATTCAATTCGTTGAAAGTATTTTCCCCTGGAATCTTGAAAACAGACATTACACTTACCAGTAATTTGTACAATGTACCAATCTCACACTTTAGTGATTAAATTCTTTCTGTTAGCCTTCTGACTTTTCCCTGGCGTTGTGAAGTATTGAGTCAGAAAACACAATTATCACTTCTTGTGTATCCCGTGACCACTAACATGACAGCAAACACAACAGTATAAGACAAAGGTTTCCCAACAGAGAATTACATATTGTAGAGAGAAAACTCTGTAGTCAAAGAATGGCTACAATATTGTCATCGAAAGATGCATTACACATGACCCCCTAGTGTAAGGTACATCATGCAGTTTATTTCTCTCAAAATATAAATCCCGCAATCCGTAGTGTTTTTTTTAAAAATCAAAATAAATTATTTAATGTTAATGAATCTGGAATACTTGTACCGATTTAGCTTGCCATCAAAAGAACCCGATTCCTGACAATAGTAAAACCTTGATTGGATAAGTAGAAGGGATGTGCGTCATTTTCAGCTTAATATTTCTAGTAACATTTTCATACACTTCACAGACTGTGAAAGAATTGAATTAAATTGGACAGGAACATTGAACTAAATATAATTAAATTACTGCTTTACGTATTAATTATGTTATAAACTATACAGGCTAGTCAAATTTGATTTGGACCAGACAAGTAATAAATATTTTCCACTAAAAGCCAATCTTCCATAGTCAACCTGGTTTCTGATCAACTAGCCCATTCTCAAATCCATGCTACAAAAAGTTGGGATGATCTCAAATCTTACCACATATGCATGCAGTTTGCATCATCAATACAAAGAACAGAATTTTCAAAATTTGATGTATCTGAAGAAAAATTAATAATCAGGTATCAATTTAAGCTAAGTTTTGTGTTATTTAAGGTGCCATTTAGGATGAGTGCACTTTTAAAAGCTATGAAAATTTGGTCCTGGTGTCTTGTGCAAAATAAAGTCCCAAAATTCATTAAATTAAATTATTTTAAATTAAATTTATGTTTTATAGGTATTTAACGATGTCTAATTCAAAAGTGGTCCAGTTCAAATTTTTGGAATTTAAGACTTATACATTTTCTTTTCAATGACATTGTAATTATAGAAGGAAGTATGACCAAAAATTCAAGGCATAAATATCAAAAGCATATGCTTGCATAATAATCATAGAATAATTTAGCGATATATTGTAATGTAAAGCTTAAAATGGATAGGCAAAAAGGTTCCAAATGATGTACTTAAGTGCACTCACTCTTTATACAATGTAGATTACAGTAGAACAGGCTTATAGCAAACAAGCTTATAATGTATTGATGCTTACAGTGATGTGATTTTCATTCCCCCTTGACTTTAAAATATACTGCAAACTTAACAGAAATTCATATCAAACTAGAGATACTGTGAGCAATGAGCTCACTAAATGATACCCCCTGCCTCCCATATGAATATAATGACAGTGTCCATGTTTTGCTATGGGAAACCCATAATATGTGTTGGATCAAAATGTACAAGAGGCCCATGGGCCTTATAGGTCACCTGAGCATCATGCAACAACTTTCAAATGATCAAATTTGGTTCCTGTTTTAAGTTAGATACTATGGCATTCACAGTTTTGAAAGAGGCACCATTGCTAATCATAACTATAAACTTAGCAATTGTTTAGTTTGTTTACTTAATACCCATAAGCAGGGTAGGAGAATAAAAATGCATGTCAACTTATCAGTAATATTCAGCAATAATCAGGAGTGCCCCTACCACACATGAACCCCTGACCCTAGGTCTAAACACTGCATAATTTTTAAAAAGAGAGTAAACCCGAGTTTACTCAGGTGACCTAAAAATAGGAGGTGCACAATGGCAAT